CCTTTCCATGGCTACAACCACTCTTCTCGTTTCTCTTTTTCTCTTTTTTTATTTCGTCGAGGGTAGTTCGATTTATATAAAGCCGTAGCTAACGAGTCGTGAAAATCGTGGACGACCCTTAGGTATCGAACGGTACTTTCGACTTCTACCTTATTCTTTTATTCGACGAGAAACGAGCGAAAATGTCATTACTCGAAGGCGCAATCTTCTATCCATACGATTATCGTAACCGTAAACGATTATGAATAATTAACATCGAAGAACAGAGCAAGTCACATTAGCCGGAAGAGTATCAGGACGTACTAATTACCCGTTTTCGCCGTTACGGAACAAGAGAATTTCGTATCCCTCTCGATCGAAATTCTCGTTTAACGAGTCTTCAAACTGCTCCTCGAAAGGAATCGCTTTCACCCCTTGGTCGCTTCTCATTGTAAGGTTAATACTAGAAGCGATTCAGCTTCAGAAGTGGAGGATTAACTGTCGGGTAAACGATCGAGGAATAAATGCTTGGAACGAGATTGCCGGGCCACGTACGAAAGGAGAAACAGGGGTCCTTTCGAAGGAGTTAAAAGGAGGAGACGAGGGCGGTGGTAGAGGTAATTCGAGAGTTATTTAAACGAGGAGCGAGAGAGGTCGTGCTGGAAGCAGACTTCCATTCCATTCCATTCCACTCCGTTCCATTCCATACCATTCCACTTGGAAACGCATGCAGACGTAAACACAATCGCCCAGGCACAATGGATTATGTTCGGAACACTCGAAGACCCCTTGTAGGTCGGTTAAAACGGACAGTGTCTGAGAAAGACGAGGGACAAGAAGGAGGGGAACGAGGGCATCGTGTCTAGCCCGGGCTATCCATACAGGGCACGGTCGAAAGATAAATAATTTGGGTGAAAAGCGTTGCCGGAAGACAAACAGGGAGGGGTTCGAATGTCTCACGAAACACCGCACCAGCAAAGAAAAGAGCCACGCGTTCCCTCGGTGTGCAAACAAATTTCCGTTCGATTGGAAATATTTATTGGCCCCGAGGAACGACGGATGTTTTCCGACGTCTTTCTCCCTCGAACGGTGTGCGCATTTTAAAATCGAGTATCTCGAACGAGCGGCAATCGGAAATGCCTACTCTTCGCCATGTATTATGTACCGTTCATTCGAGAAGCTCGTGATTTTCAATCGCATGTTTTACGAATTATCGAACACAGCGGCAAAAATTTCTGTGCTCGTTCAATCCACCCTTCGCGAAATAGGCTCTCCGTAAAATCACGGATTATAAAGCAAGTGCTATGATAAAAAAAAAAAAGAAGCAGGGAATAAAGAGAGACGATACGCTCAATATAGGGTGGTGAACAAACACGCGGGTTCGCAGAATAATTGAAAAGCAATGGAGAAAGAAGAAACGTACTCTCGCCGTGGGATTTCTCGAGTAGGATGTTCCTTGTTGAAACGGAAGACGGAACGGAGTGGGGTGGCAAAGTAACCGCGAGGGTCTACGGCCAAAGCACTCGACGGTCCTCCTTTGCTCTCCCGGTGGACCAATTTACGGCACCCCGAGGACTCGGGTATTACGCTTCACGCTCGGGGGTTCGTTTCTGGCCATTGTTGCGCCAGTCCAGGGGATTATTTCGGTAGGGACGAAGAACTGGGGTCGGCCTTCCAGTTGCAGTCGTTCGCCTCTTTCGCTTAGCTATCCTCGGATTATACGTTTCCCGGGCACCTGCAGCTAAACTGTGTCCCGTCTGGTCTTTTTTTCGAAAGTGAGAAAGTAGACGACGAAAGAAACAGTTCCCCAGGATGTCTTTCTTTCGATTAATTCGCCTTGATATCGGAAAGAAAACCATTTAGCGTAATAAGCTACTTCTCCGACTTCAGGCATCTGTGTTCTTCTTTTGCCCTATCGTTGATTGCCCACCGAGAGACTCATTAAAAACTCTTACAAATGGCAATTATAACCGGGAAGCCAACGATAAAGAGCGTTCGTCCATTTAATTATCTGTCTTATTGGAAAGGAAACTAGGCGAGTGTGTACGGATAAATGGAGTCGCCTTATCGGCAACGTTAACAGTACCAACCCTGTACAGAGAAAATCGTTTTACGTTCTCCCTGAAAGTTCTTATCGTTGAACGAACCCCCGTATCGCGTTATTTTCTCTCTCGTCTTTCTTTTTTACGGTACTTCGATACGCTCACTCGACACGATGTTCCCTTTTTATCGACAAGATTTTTACGGTCGTACATTCCGGCGTACAATAATACGAGAAACCAGTCTCGAGGGCGTTGCTTCTGAGAATAATGGAAGAGACAATGCGTCGGGTCAAAGGCTAGCGGGAAGAACGATACGCGTCCCAGGTGTCGAACAAATCGTATAGAGAGAAATACAATTTGAGCATGTTCTATCGGCCGCAGTCAGACGCTGTTTCAACGCTCCAATACGTAGCGCGAAACGATTTTTTCCGGTCGCCGCGTTCGTTCGTGCCAAATAATTGTATCAACGAGCAAACAACACAGATATAGTATATCGCGAAACGGCCAAGCGGTTGTTCGGCAAAAAACAAAAAAGACTAACAAAACGAGTAAGTGGTGAATGAAAGAAAACGCGAAGCAATAACAGGGGAACGTGAAAATTAAAACAATCGGTTCCTCCTCTCTCTTTTCCTTTCACCTTACCCCGCCGTACGCCGAACAAGAAGCAGCAGTCGTGTAATTACCGCGAGCGGCAGCACGAGATCGCGATTCCGCTTGGCCAGGAAACGTATAATGGGAGTATAATGCGTGAAATTTACTGGGCGCATCAGCATAATGGACGACGTGACGCTCAAGATATCACCGTGATTCCATATTTCCGTGCCGACAGCGGGATTCGATTCGCTTCGCTTCGCTTGTCTCATCGCATACCTGCGGCCCGTGCTTCGAACAAACGCATTACCATTCCGTGTAGCGTTGCACGGCTTCGAAGCTTAAAATCAGTCGATTATCGTGCGGTTTACTCGTCGAGGAAAATCATCGATTCGCCAATAGATTCTCCGGTCGAAGAGAAAAATACTGTTTTCGCGTCGTCGTGTACGAACGACTGTCGTGAAATTTTCAAAAGTTTTTTCAGCTGTGCATGCACGAACTGCATTTACACGAACCATCTGGGCAAACGTGCCGATTAAACGTATCAATATTTGTCGAATCAGGGCTCCGACGCGAACGCATGCCACAGTTTGCAGAAAGGTTACCTTCATGTTCTCCTGATACCAGACGCGCACCAGTGTTTCGCCACCAGCGCGACCTACCTTCTTCGTGGTAAAACGAGACACACATACAATATACAACGCACACAAGTTCGTTAGAATGATCTGGTATCCCTCTCTTTAGCCGTCTTTCCGTCGCTTCTTCACGCCACTCGACGGAGTCACCCTTTTTCCACAACATTGTCACCGCCTTTCAAGAGACAGAGTCACGACTCCTTTTTTACTTTCTCGCTTACTCCGTCTCTTCACCGCGTTTCTCGCCCCGTCCATATTCCGCCCCGTTGCTCACCACGTGCTACAATATCGTCGGGCCGCATCCGGTGTAACGTCTGTTATTAGGGATGGGCCAGATGAAGCTTTCATTATTCTATCCAAGAGGGGTCCTCTCTCACCCCACCTCTCACGGTAACACACCGTTATAATACAAAGTAATGGACGATTTTTTGCTTTCCTCTCTAATTATTGTTATTATCGGCCCGGGGCAGGTATAATGGCAACGGAAATAATGTAATGTTACGTTTCCAGCGTCGTCTTAAACGTGAAAATATCTCGCGCGACCTATTAATTCCGCGTTCTCACGCGTCGTTACCGTTTCTAACCGCGTTCATCAACGTCTTTCTTTCGTTCTATCGCTCTACGTTCCCATTAGAATAAACGTATTACGTCCATTCGACACGGTTTGAATGAAAAAGAAAAGGAAAAACCAAGCGACGCGCTCTTTCCTTCCTGCGGTTCTCTGTGCTCCCTTAGCTTCGTTCATGGTATCCTGTTCATCGACCGGCAACGATTTAACAGAATAAAACGCGGCGTGAAATTATTCTCCGGAACGGAATACGCACGACTAGAGGCAATCTGGTACCGTCGTTACGGTTATGTACAACAAGCGAGACGCTTTAATCCGTGCGGCTATTAAAGAACAGACACGAACTCCGTGGCTGGTCGGAGAGGACACGCGATGAGAGAAGACCTTGTCTCGCGGTACTAGCCCCGTCGTCGTCGTCGTCGTCGTCGTCGTCTTCGATTCACGGATCAATAGGCCTCGTCTTGGCGAGACGAAATACCTTTTACACGGCTCTCGGATTAACCTCGAATTCGTGACGGGTTTGCAACAACGTTTCACCCCGGCGCGGCTATCTCGAAATCTTGAAACGTACACGTATGCGCGCACTCCCAGAATGCACGTGTATCCAACGTGTTACACACACATAAGAGAATGTACGCGCGATGCAAGATAAATGTGTGCACCGGGACGCACGTGACCGTATTAACAGCGAACCTAGAGGCACGAAGAAACCGCGGTTCGGCATTATTATCGCGTTCGCGTTTCCATCTCGATCGAGGAATGTTTTGACGCGCACGTTTCCTCGACAAGGGTGTAACACCGCGGCGCGATCTTACTCGGTAATCGTCGGCCGTTTGAAAAATTCTACGGCCAGGTAATTCGATCGACGATCGAAAGGCGTTACACCGGTTTCTACGCCGCTGAACGTGATCGGAATCGCACGGCTACGCGCAACACCCTTGCACACGTGAAACTCGAGCCAACTTGCTCTAGCTACGCTCGGCATCGCCTTACCAGCTACAAATCGCTCAAACCGCGTAACAAAGGCGTAACGGTTCGAAAATTGGCCATCGAAAATGATGATAAAAATTTGAGAAATTCGCAATTATAAACATATGTTACCATACCGTTTAACGAAACGATAAAATACAAGTTCAAAGAATGAAATAAAAGTAAAAATAAAAATGGTTGAATAATTTCACTCACCGGATGCCTGGCAGCAGCAGCAGCCACAGCAGCGGCGTTGATTCCGGCACTGGGATACATATTTCCTCTCTGGTATCAAACTGGTTGAAAATCGTAACACTCTCGTGTGTGTTCTCAAATCACGTAAGCGATACGATTCATGTCACGCGTCACACCGATGCTAACAAATAACCAACAATAACAACGCGATCGAGGATAAACAAAAACACCGATTCAAAACGCCCGCGCGGGCTACGAGTACAAGCAGCGATCCTTTCCACGGTTCTGTCCGCGGTTCTGTCGATACGATACGATCGAGAAGGTCCCCGCCACCGTTGCACGACGATGATCCATCGGTGGATTTTCACGTACGCCACTACCGCATTCTCGTCGAAATTATTTTCACCGTATCGAAAGTATAACTCGTGTCACCACTTATTTCTATCGTTCATTGAGGTTAGATTCGTGACACCGACGACGCCACGAAGAATTCCGTACGGACGCGAGGAGCGTGGCGTGCCCTTTACACGGTCGGTAAAACAGATCGATGGCCGCCGTCGCCGCGCCGCGCCGCGTCAACCGTTTCCCGACAAACCTTCTTTTCTTCGCATTAAACGAACAAAGAGATTAACCTCTTTGCCTTTTATCGTAGCTTCACTTACTCAAAATCGAAACACCATCACACTGAAGATACACTGCACTTGTTTACCAAGCTAAACGGTGGCCCGCCGCCACTTTGAGGTTAAGTTTACCAACACTAGCACGCACGCGTCCCTCCGTTCTCGTATACCGTATCCGTGGAGAAATTCCTTCGCGTGAAAGCGAACGCGTCCGTGAATCAAAGTTAAAATACCGATCGAAAGGAACCGTCGAAAGGCAACGTGAAAGCGTACACGAAACAGCAAACGTACAGACGAACAACAAGAACAAACTTCTCCGCTCAACGGCCTCGGAGCGACTGATGGACGGGCGAGTGGTGGGGATGGTATCCCCTCCACGCGCGATCTTTCCATTCCCCCACTCCGACAGGCCGTTACTCCACAGTTAAACCCGCCAAGCACCCCCTCGAATGTCTCTCCTCGTTCTCGACGCTCGTATTAACCGGCGCGATAGCTCCTTCACAATTAAGTCGCGTTACGTAAGGGTCTCGAAAAGGCGAGCACGAAAATCACGGCTCGTTAAAACGTCGGTACCGTCCTCCCTCTTTCTCTCTACGCCGCTCGCTCTTCCGTCTTTCTCGCTTTTTCCTTTTTGCCACTCTCTATTTCATAGCACCTGTCGTCCTATCGTATACTTGATCTGCTTTATCGATCAACGATGAAGCCTCGGATACGTCCATCATGATTTCGGCGCGCCGTCGACGCGACGAGTGACCCGGCTTTGCCTTTAGGGCCATTTTAGTTGACCGTAATTAATCTGGTTTGAAACGAACAGTTATATCCGCGTTAAGCATAGCGGCAATCGAACGATACACAGTACGTAACATCGATTCTATTATGTACACGACCAACACGATACGTTTATTAATACTCTCTACCCCCTCTATGTTTTTCTTTTATTCCCTCCTATTTTCCCCGGGAATTGTTTTACCGTCGGCTCGATTTTTTTTTTTTTCTTTTTTAGCGCTATATTGACGTTGCGAAATTTAATGCTAGCGATCACTGTTTCTGTATTAATGGAAGATGACTCAACGCGCTCATTTATCAACGTTGATTACGTTCGTTTTTTTCCATTCGTTCGAAGCTATTATCGCTGATACGACGGTTAACGAGTGTGTGCAAACAATATTTGCTGACTACATTCAACTACCTTTGGAATCTAGACAATTCAAAGTATCAATCTCGTGCTACGACCAATGACTAAGGGAACAAACGGTTCTTGGAATACTTTTTTCGTGCCGTCCCATTATCTCTTCGCTCGTGCTTCGTTTTAACGGATACGATTTGACGGGAGAGAGGAAGAGAGAGAGGAACGAAAGAGGGAAAGATCGTTACCCCTGGGAGATATCGTAACGCGAATCGTGTATTCTACGGGTGTATAGGTCCAGCGATTTTTGCAAGTTGAAGCACGAAGACTAGAAGCCTCGAAAGTTTTCGGTGCGGCAGATACGGTCGAATAAACGAGAGGACAGAGCACGGAACACGGCGTGCCATGCATACGCGTAGGTATTAGTTGCTTCTCTCGGTTCGCTCAGCGTGTGCAAACAAATCGAAAGTTTTTCGCAAAATGGCCGTCACCGGGCTGACACGGATGTCCGTATAAACTCTCTCTCGCTCTCTCCTCGTTCCGCGTATTCACCCAACTGGCCGCCGACTGGCTGCCTCTCTCGCCACTCGTGATTTCCCTCACTTCCCACACCACCACAAATATGGCGCCTCCACCCGTTTTCCCAACCCCTACACAACGTGCCTCTATCAAGCGACAACGAGAGCGAGAGAGATGCGAATGGAATATATATATATATATATATACACACGTGCATCCAACACGATTGTATCCGAATATCCGTGTGTAGCAAGTACGATCCCTATGCGTGTGGCAAAGGGGGTGCCCCTATGTGAATATCGGCGCAGCACACAGTCCCAAGCAGTTTCCTACTTGATTGCCGCTATCGTCCGCTCGCTTCGTAAAGGAACTGATCCGCGCGGACTACGGTTACTCGCCTCGACCAACCAAACCACGCCGGTTCGTGACTTTGCCAATAACGACATTTCCAGCCCCACCATCCAACCAGACAGCCGCAAAGAGTCGAATGAAAGCACGACCTCGGCCAATGAGAACGATACTTTTTCAGCTGGCGCCTGTACGTTAGATCCGCGCGGAGTGTTGCTCAAGCCCCACGGATGTTCCTATACGGCGGAATGAAGGTGCTACGCGAAGCCGCAGCGAAACATGAAAAATAGGGGGCTACATGAGGAAAAACACGGACCGGGTAGGAAGGAGGAGGGCTCTGTGGGATGGATCCTACGAACCGAGACACCAAAGGCTGGCGCACAGTCGTGGTGGTTGTGTGCGCTGGTGCGGGGCATCCGTGAGAGGTGGGGGAGAAGACGTCGAGGATAGAGGCCGAGGATGAGAATGGAAAAGTAACATAACGAAACGTCGATCCCATTACCTGCAGCTCTCTCTCGCCCTGCCGCCACCGTGCACCGAGCCCTGCTTTCGACCCTTAATCCAAAGGAGGATTAGAAAACCCCATTGTCATGCTTCGCGGAACGCGGGATGGGATATATACATACATATGTAGAGAAAAGCACTCCGCACAATTTCTCCCCTGCTTTGGGCTCGCCTCCTTTTCCTTGTACAACCCGGAGGCGGTAGTGCAGGACCCCTCCTAATGAAATAAATACGTGACGTGCCGTAGCGACGATGCGATGGTAGTTCTATTTATCGCCAGGCATCAACTTTTTGCGAGGATGCAGAGAGACGCAAACTACTCCCCTGCCTTGATGATTCCACACCCGTTTCACCGTTTTCCTTCCTTTCTCGATCCTGTTTTAACGCGTTCCCCGTCTAGTTGGATATCGCTCTTTGTCTTGTTGCACAGGGCGAAGAAGGAATATAAGGCAGTGCCGTGGAGTGTTGGCGAAGCTGTCGGTCGCGCTTGGTCGGCTGCGGTTTATGCGGAGCCGCCTTGCCTGCCGCCTGCCGCAGCCGGTTTGCGTGTTCGCCCGTGTTCGCTCAGTGGATACGTGTCCTCGGTGCGGCTCGCTGCTCACCGAACGACCGTCGACGCTCTGCTACGGCGAGTAAAGAGGAGAGATCGAGCCAGAAAGGGTGAAGGAAGACAGGGATAAAGGTAGAAAGCAGCAGCAGCAGCGAGAGGGAGAAAGAGAGATGAGCTGACGCTGGGAATAACGAGGGTGAGAGAGACACCGTGAGGCGGCAGAACCAGTCGCTGCGGTCGTCGCGGCTAACCGCGCCGGTGCTCTCAACCCGCGGCGACCTCGCTAACCGCACCAAGAATACCAGCCTCTTCTACGACGACGCTATCAACCTGTATCGCCGACCCTCCTCCAACTAGCTTATTTCTTCAATCCTTTCCCTATTAAATACGTTCGATTAATTGACCACGCGTGCGTCTAACATCGTTACGATGACCAATTAAATTACAGACCTATCTGCTAGAAATATGTACTCGATTCGTTGGACGTGTAAATTATGTTCGTAACGCTTAATCTCGTTACTCCTTTCTTTTCGGCTATCCATAGAGACGGTAGATACATGAACTAGTCGTGGGAACTCGTAGTATTGTCGTTCGAAGTAACGATACCCGCTATTATTCCGCTTAAATACGTTTGTACGATTATATCGTTTAATAGGCGAAGTTGCTGGCACAAATAGAAACAGGTGCATCAATTCGCACGGCCGTTCTGTGACTGTATAACCACGACCATTGTATCTTCGGGGAAGAAGTCATTCGCCGTAATGTAAATATTACTTTGGCTGGCATTGTATAGCGGCTCTTCTATTTGTAGCCATTGTGCGCGAGAATTTCCTGCTCGGAAAATCGCCGGGGAAACGTCGAGGAGCCGGTTTAATTAATTATAATTGGCTGAGTGCATTGGGCAACCGCCTCTTCTGGACCCAACGTCCACTTCATCCGGCGCACGAGAGGGAAAGATCTAAGAGCTTGACTTCTGCTCGAATGAGAGTACGAGCGTACATCTCGCCGCTCAGCGCCGTACGCCGCAGTCGGCTCGAAGAGGATCCGTGAGGATGATCGAGCGCTGCGGGCTGCCCATTAATATATTTGAAAGAGGCTCCGTTTCAAACGGATCGTCGAAATAACTGAACTTCGAATGGCCGCTAATAATGTGCGATTTGTATATCGAGCGACCATCGATCAAACGGTATCGGCGAGACAAAAAATATTAATCATGTTTATTAATTATGGAGAAAATTGAATGATCGAAGCGTTGTACTACCTTCCATTTTATTTCTCTCCTCGTGTACCCTGTCGGCCAGAACAAATCGAAAATGAACGAATGAAATTACAGCCATTAACTCGACACAAGATACCGTGCATAACCTTTTTGTATCCAAAAGGCAAGGTTCGTGGAACCGTTCCTTTCTTCCCTCCTGCGTGTTGTCCGACTCGAGTATAATACCTACGGATCGAATTTCTAACTAAACCCCGATGGCCCTTCTAGGATCTTCTTCTAATCTACCGATCGTTCCCGAGAAAAGAACAGTGGGCCAAATATTTGACTAGCAAGGAAAAACCGGCTGTGTTGTACTTCGTGACGAACCATTTGATCGCGATCGACCAGCAAAATCGGCTTAATTTTCAGTGTATTTAAGAAAGGAACGAACAAGCGGAATTAAAAATTACAGGAGCACCGATTGCTGAACAGGCGCGTGGTAATGATTGTGACGGGTAACTGCAGAAAGAGTAATGAAAAAAAGAAGTTCGATAAAGGACGATGCTCGACGTTTTGGCAAAGTATCGCGTTGCGGTTTCGTCCGCCTCGAAACGAATCTAGCATGCGCACTCACGGCTGACAAATGTCTTCCGCGGTTCTGGCAGCGGCGTACCGTTATCCAAATTACAAATAACACACCGCCGTCGACGTTTTATCCAACGCCCGGAGACAAATTGCTCCCGACTCGGAATGGGTTGGCTCGAAATTATCCCCACCGTTCGGAGCCGGTGTAACCGCGCGTCTTGGACTTCGTTAATACCGGTAGTAGCTCGGCCCCTTGCTCGGCACACGGAATTAACACGGCGAAGTGTATTTATGGATCCGGCCTCGGCCAGGTAACCCGAGAAAGACCCTGCACTGTCCTGCTTCTTCCCCAATATCCCTCTTCCTCTTTCTTTCTTCTATTCTTTCTTTTCTTCTCTCTCTTTGCTCGACCACGCCATCGGTCGCTTTCTTTTCTTTTCTTTTTTTTTCCACGAAGGAGGATTAATTAATGAGCCTGATCCAAGCATTACCCGCTTTACGGACCCGGTACCTGGCCTTCGAGCCCCCACCGGCGTGGGAATGTCCCTGGCAATTTCAATTTCGTTAATTATCGCAAAACCCGGTTTTATTCGATATAACGATCCGGTTTCGAAGCCGATACACCGTATTCGGTATTGGCAATAACTTCGCCATTAAATCACGCGTCTGTCCGCGCGCATACGCGTACATACCCGTACGTATGTTCTTTTTCCTTCGACGTACGATCGTAAGAGATTGAAATCCGTGGCCTTTTATCTCCATCGTCGGCAACCCTTTTCGCGTATCGTGCACGTAGTTGGCTGCTTATTCGCTGTTTCGCTTGCTTCGCTTGGCAAATGCATAAATCGTCGGCGTGGCGCGTTTCAAACTTTCTACCCAAGCGACGGTCTTGGGCCGCTCGTCATTCCGCGTGGCGTTTGTCGCGGCGAAGAGAGAGAGTTATTGCGACGGCTACGGTAATCGAATAACGTGTCACCCTTGCACTCCACGCCATTGGCCTATATCTGCGGCACACGGAGTCGCGATACACGTGTAGTTATGGCGTGTAACGCGTGCTCGAATATAGCATTCTCGATGTGCAACAGCGAGTGCATTCGAAGAGAGTGCTGTGTAATGCATATTCGCGAAGTTATACGGATTTAAGCGAAGATGGATAGGCATTTTTCAGCAACCGAGCCGGGTTTCTTAATTGAAACCTTTTGTCGGGGAAATAAAGTGTATCCTGTTTGTATCGTCGTAGATTAACAAAAAGAGGGAAAACAAAAACGAGAAGACTGGCGAAGGCAGGACGGTGGAAAAGAGCGAGGAAGAAGGGGGCTGGAAATTACGCCGCAATTTCAGTTCCAACAATACAGAGAAAGAGAAATTACGGTATAAATGGTGGAGTAAGATGCGGTGTTATTAAGAACGACACGTAGGAAAGGGGTTCGTTATTCCGCCGGGAATGGTAGCGAAAATTTTCCGCGAGTCGCTTAGCTTATTACTCGTTATTATCCACCTTCGTGGAAAGGTACACGCGAAATAAAAAACGAGCACGAGTTTGCGGTGTATCGTCTTTGTAATTTCGCGAATTTCACCGGTTTTCCATCGTCTAAGAGCACGATTCGAAACTAATTTGTATCCAGAGGGTTTCCCTCGTTCGATGCTCTACTGAAGGAGAAGAAAAGCCAAAGTAAAAAAGCGAAAAGAAAGAATGAAAAAAAGTACGATCCCCGACGAGCGTGAAACTCACGGGCGTGCCTTGAAAATTCCTTTTCGAGCGGCTTCCCTTGCGGAAA